ATCTTTTCTCGATATATTAACATCTGAAATACTATATATAATCTCTAAATGTAGTAAGCAATTATTTTTAGCTATTACTCCCGTCCTACAACTATAGTTATTCACTATATTATTTGGAGATATCGATCAGTTCCTAATTTATCCTTATCATTAATTATAGTTATTTAATTTTATTATTATATTTTTCAACACATTGTATTTATTATTATTCAAAGGATGATATAATAAAATTACCCTTGTATTTATAGTTTCTTAAGGGGTGTGCCAAGTCAATACTCCCTTTGTCCCTAATTACTTGTCCACTTTTTCTTTTTTTTAGTTGTCCCTAATTACTTGTCTATTTTGACAAATCAAGAAAGGACAATTTTTTCTACCTATTATACCCTCAATTAATTACTTTGAAAAATGTAGAACTTTTTGAAAACCTTAAGTTTTTAATCCATCCACTTCATAATTAATAGGGGTAAAATAGTAAACTCTATATGTCAATAATTGTTTTCTTAATAGGTATGTCAATTTAAAAATGAACAAATAATTAGAGAAAAAGAGAGTAGTTGACAACTATTGTTAGACAGATAGAGTATTTCTTTCATAAGAAAAGATATGTCTTTCTTCAATTTCACTAGTACTAGGGAAGACAACTGATCTTTCTTGTTAATTTTACTATGATCTACAACCTAATGATAATTAATTCATAGACCACTAAATTTGAATTAGATGGTTGTTTTTTTCTCAAAAACTTACATAAATGACTATAGTTTAGGAGTTATCATATTTCTTTTGCTATAGTTATCATAATTACGTATATAGCTATATGTATTATGGTAATACTATTATATTCTATGTATTCAATTTTTATTTTTTTTGTATACTAGTACACAGTTCCAAATTTAGGGCATTAAAAAAGGAAAAAAACTGTTTTTAAAATGGTAATTCCTTGAGTCAGGGCAATTTGAATTCGCATACTTCCCATTATTAAACAAACATCTAAAGTTACTCATTCAACAATTAGGACGTTGGTATTCTCATCTCTCTCAAAAAAATAAAATTGAAATACAATTTGCTTTGTTGTCCAATTTTCACCATTGTTTCTTTCTGAGATTTAATACATATATTTTCAAATTTGATTTAATGGAATTCATTTTTCAAATTCGAAGAAGTCAAACAAAGACTATCCATGTATCAAAATGTATCCAAATATTTCAAAAAATACATGTATTAATAACTAAATGTATCCAAATATTAAAAAAATAAAAACAAATACATGTATTAATAACTAAATGTATCCATTTATCAAAAAAAAAAATTACTATCAAACAGTACAAAGTATACTTGCACTCAAATGTGTAGAAATCAATATATTAACTGTCAATAACTTAGATTTGTATTGTGCAACACAAAATGAAGTTATAAATATCATTGTGCTACAAAATGTTTGAAGATTTTGAAAGTTCAACACTTTCTTTTTTTTTCGTAACATATATTGACCCTTAATTTGAAGAGGGAAAAAAAATATAAGTGATCTAGGGTAATAAAAGAGAAAAATCATAAGGAATAATTATCATAAAAAGCGCTTGTAAGGAGTATAATAACATGTAATAGTGAAATTTTTATTTAATATTAAATTATATCAAAACATAATAAATATCTTAAACTATAGATATAAACATTAAATAAATATCTTTTCTTTTTCTTTTTAACCCTCCTTAGGAGCTCCCACCTCTTTTGCTCCCTTGATGACTCGAACTCGCACCTTTGGGTTGGAAGTGAGGGGTGCTTACCATTCGAGCAACTCCCTCTCGTCTTTGCTATGTCATGTAGTTTTTTTTTCTTTTTTAGAAAATAATAATCATTTATATATTTCATTCGGTAATTGCACTTTCTTTCACACTAATTATTGATTAAACATAACTATTTGTTTTGGTATCAACATTTTTGTCTATGCAAAATATTTGTCAATCCAAAAGCATGTTAAATTGAAGGTTAATGTTGATAGGAAGATAAAAAATAAAATTAGAGGAATATAAGGTGCAATGCTAGTATTGACAATATGTCCAGATTAAAAGATTTTAAGTCCTTGATTTCTTTTCTTTTTTAGTTGTACCTATTCACTTGGTTAATAAAATATTCTACTTATCACAAAAAAAAAAAAAAACCATAGAAGGTTAATGTATATATCATTGTCTTCCATATCTTTTTGAAAGATATTGTATCAATTAACTATCTATTAAGGTTTGAACCCCCAAAAAAATTGCCTTGTTACTTTCATTCCCATTGAAATTTGAAGAGTTAATGATTAAAATACACTTAATTATGGATTTCAAATTTTTTTTATTTCATCTTTGATTTATCGGACATGTGAATTTTTCTACTTAAACTATCATCAACTATTTATCAAAACACACTTTATGTCCTTCACTATCAATTGTTTAAACCATAATTTCCAACTCACTTCAGAATTATTAGGCCACGACTCTTGGGTGACATACATCTTTATCACATATTTAATCGCTATAAATCCAACCAAGAAAAAAAAAAAGAAAAGTTCAATGAATATATAGAACCAAAAATAATGTCTAATAAGTAGAATCAAACAAATTACGACTTGGCATACATCGTAAAACATAGTTGAAACGGCAGATTAATTAACATCAAACACAATATTGGATTTCCACAAAGAAACATTTTATTTTTCTCTTAAGAGAAAAAAAAAAATCTCAAACTTACTCAAATATCTAAAACTTGAATTTCTTGAGTAGACACGCAATCTAAATGTGCACCACATTTACAAGCCAAACAACAATAAAACCAACAACTCTTCCCAACTCCATTTTTACAAACATAACACATCACATCAACTTCAACCTCCTTCCCTACAAACAAGTTACTACTATTATAACACAACGTAAGAGGATGTTGATGATCTTCCCTCTCTTCAATCTCAGGCAACGAAGCACACTCCACATGAAGATCAAACTTACATTTATCACAATGAAAAGTAAATGAGTGCCCCCAATTCCCACATGCATCGCACGTGAATTCCCCGTCGTTGTACGGAGGAAAAAATCGGAGACTTAATGTGTGTTTCGGGTGAGACTTGTGTTTAATTTGCCTAGGCAAATCGAAACAAGAGTCGTGGAGGATGAAATTGCAGTTTATTTTTGTGCACATGTAGGCGGGTCCGCTAGAGAGATCGTGGTCGCAGCCGGAGCAAATGACTTGATCTTCTTCATCGAGGATATCGGAGATTTTTATTAATGGGTGGCGATGGCTGAAATGGTTGAATTCTTCCGTTGGAGGAATTTCCATCGTGTGATCTGATTGTAATTTGTAAAGTCAAACGTTCATGTTGTGTATTTAATATACGGGAGAATTGCATTTTTCGTTCCTTAGTTATCAACATGTTGGCAAGTTTGGTCCTTGTGATACTAAGAATAAATATGTGGAACCTTTAATTAATGTATTTGTGTGCTTTTAGTCCATCCACTAACATATTTTTGTTAAAAAATTTTAAATGGAAAATAAATTAATGTAGCACCTTTCATGGTTTTTTTTCTCCACCTAGACTAACCGAGATCTGTGTTGCGTAAAAGCTTCAATAGGATTTTTTTTTTATGCTAAGAAAGAGCTTGAACCTGATCGTACTTTTAATTTAGAGTAGAAGAATCTTATTCATTCCATCATAACTCTTGTTAATGTCTTTTATGTTACTATAAGAAAGTAATGCTAGTACTTTCATCTATTATTTTGAGGTTGGAGCTTTGAAAATTTGTTAGCGGAGAGTTCATACAATTCTATTAATTGAAGGTTAAATATGTTCAGCAAGATATTATAGGGGTTAAACTAAAAAAAATTCTAACGATTAAGGGACCAAAAATAATATATTTTCAATTAAATTCTTGTTTTCCTCCTTCCCTTTTCACAAAGAACTGGCATAGTTAAGACCCAACTCCTAGTGCACTTCTATGAAAGTGACAATTTTGTTTGACCAAGTCAAGCTTATTTATGTCTAGTGGAAAGGTTCTTAAAGTTTGAGACAATTAAACTTTAATTATTCTTAAAATTATTAACTTGTACTCGAAAATAAGTATTTAAATTAAGTTTGTATTCCTCATATTAGAAACGGCAAGCTTGGTTTTAAAGGGGAAGTTGAAAAGTATTTTGAATTTGACTATTTCTTTTTAGTTTGATATTTATTAATTTTTGTACCAAGATAATTCCAGGTTCAAGAGATTAACAAAGTTAGATCCAAAAGATAATTTATTTTTTGGATTTTGCAAAGATAATGAAATATAAGAGAAACATTGTTTTGGGTATAATACTAATTAATTAAAGAGGTTTAGAACATTGCTTGAAAATGATCAAGATAATAATGGTGAATATGACCGTAAGAAGAGCAATCACAACTTAAATAATTGATACAGTTGAGGCCAAATCATTACGATACCTATTATCTACTTTGATCTAATCTTTATGTTGGTGTGAATATTATGTGAATATTGATATGCTCAATAATGCAGACAAGAAGTACAAAGAGTACTGGGCCTGCACATACAGATCCAAATATCTTATCGGTTATTTGGTCTTTTGGGCCTCAGTTGGTTAACGATCTCAGCCAACAGTGGGCTGAAGTATTATAAACTAACCTACTTCTACAAGTTAACTACAAATAGGACAATACATATAACGTTAAGATTAGTTACATATTAGGAGTCTTTTCCTTGCTATTCGTAAACTGTTAGGAGTCTTTCTTTTGCTGTATATATACAAGGCATTGTACAATTGAAAACATCGATCAAATATATAAGAAAAGTTCCGCATATATCTTTTGTTTTCTTACATGGTATCAGAGCAGGTTTGAATACCTCTCGATCATTCTTTTTACTGTGTTATTTTGTTTTCACAATGAGCACTGATTCACAGGCTAGTAGTCAGTCACTCCAGCTCTTCCTTCCAGTACCGCTGGACTTTTTCCTTCTACTAATCCCACTAGATCTGCCATGACTAATGTAGTGGATCAAACACATCTGTTTTATCTCCATCCATCAAACTATCCAGGTATGACTCTCGTTTCTTCTGTCTTTGATGGCAAGGCTTATGGACCATGGAGAAGAGCAATAGTGATAGCACTTTCGGCAAAGAATAAGTTGGGATTCATTGATGGATCCTTGTTAGTTCCCAACACTGATCCTTTGTTTCAAAAAACATGGGCCAGATGCAATGATATGGTCCTTTCATGGCTCCTGAATTCTCTTTCCAAGGAAATAGCTGAGAGTATGTTATATTCTCATACTGCAAAAGATCTTTGGAAAGACTTGGAAGACAGATTTGGTGTGACCAATGGAGCAAAACTGTTTCAGCTACAGAAAGAATTAAGTGCAGTTAGTCAAGATAATTCTAGTGTATCAACTTATTTCACAAAAATGAAGAGTTTGTGGGATGAGTTAGATGAACTAAACACTTACTCTTCTTGTATTTGTGAGTGTGCATGTGGTGCTAAAATAAAGAATACCAAAGCTCATCAGGACGAAAGATTGTTACAGTTTTTGATGGGTTTAAATGACACTTTTGTTGGGGTCAGAAGTAGTGTTCTGTTGTCGGCTCCTTTGTCTAACATTGGGCAGGCCTACTCTCTTGTTATCCAAGATGAAAAACAAAGGGAAATACATGCTACACCTGTTTATCCAGGTGATTCAGGATCTTTCATAGTTGCTAATTCAGGAGAAAGGAAGTACCCCAACCTCAAGGAACAAAAAGGAGGTAACTCAGGATATGATGGAAAGAAGAGCAATGTGATTTGTGACTACTGTAAGAAGCCAGGTCACAGTGTGGATAAGTGCTACAAGATCCATGGTTTTCCTGTTGATTTTAAATTCACAGAACCTAGAAAATTTCAAGGCACATCGCAGGGAAGTACAACTTTCAACTCAAGTGTTTACAATCAAAGTGAAGGATTTACTCAAAGAGACACCAATGCTCCAGAAGTCCAAGCTCTCAGTCAGGAGAACATAACACAAATATTGCAAATGCTTCAGCAGATGAAATCAAATCAAAATGCAGGAGGATCTGAAGGAGCGGCAAATCTTAGTCTTTCTGGTATGCCCAAGTTGTTCAATTCTTATGCCTGCTTTATTGAAATTGATAGTAATTCTTGGATATTAGATACTGGAGCAACTGAGCATATGACCTATAATAGGGAATTTCTTTCAAATGTTAAAGCTCTTCCTAAACCTGTCATGGTAAACTTGCCTAATTCCTATAGAGTCAAGGTTACTCATGCAGGAACAGTTACATTAATGTCTAATATGATTCTGCACAACGTTTTATATATACCTTCTTTCAGATTTAATCTGATATCTGTGCATAAGTTTTGTGCTCAGGCATTCATTTTTTTTACTCCATATTCTTGTTTTTTATTTCAGGGCCCTTCTCTGAAGAGCCCTCTGGAGATTGGTAAGGAGCAAGGGGTACTCTATATCCTTAACATAAGACAATCAACAATAGTTCCTTCAAGCCAATTCAAGCCAGTTCAAGTTTTCAATTCGAGCAAGAAGTCTAGTTCTAGTTTAGCTACAAATTCTAGTTTAAATTCTAAGAAATCTGTTTCAAATGCAATTTTTAACTCATGTTTCAGTTCTTCATCTTCAAATGTAACAGAAAAACTATGGCATATTAGATTAGGACATATGCCTTTGAGCAATATGAAATATTTATGTTATCTCTTTTCCAGTATCTTCTAAAAATTTGACTCCTTGTGTTGTTTGTCCCATGGCGAGACAATCCAAACTCCTTTTCCCGTCTAGCACAATATCTAGTAAATCAATTTTTGAGTCAATTCATGTGGATACATGGGGACCTTATAAACATGCTATTCAGGGACATCCGATAAAATTGGTATCAGAGCTTCAGGTTCACCGGTCTCACTTGTACAGAGCTAACGTCTAGTAGAGTCTTGCGGATCGGTGCGGAGACGTCCGTAACTTATCTTCGAGAGGCTACAGGATGTCCTTAGAAAGATTTCCTCTTTTGTTTCACTTTCGTGCAGCATGTGTCTTATTGGTTCCTTAAGATCTCACTTGTTTCACTCTTTCGCAGGATGGCTCGCTCGTGAGGTGGCGCGGCCGGGGGTGATGCACCCAGGCCTGCAGACAGAGCCCCAGCTTGGGGTAGACGCCGACCCCGAGATCGAGAGAGGGCCGCAGCATCAGTCCAGGAGAGAGAGGAGGATCTAGAGCCAGTAGCAGACCCTTCAGCACTTCGTATACCAGATCAGTCGGTGGGGCCAGGGCCATCCCAGCCGCCACCCGGACTAGTTTTGACTCCAGATCTCCAGGCCGCTATTGCTCAGCTCTTAGGTGTGCTTGGGGGATGCAGCAGCCACCTGCCCCAGCTACACCAGCACTAGTACCGCAGGATCAGCCTTCAGTGAGGACACCTCAGGTCCAGGTACCACCTGAGGGAGTACAGCCCTTGGCAGCGGATAGACCTATGCCGCTTGAGGACCAGAAGATGCTTGGTGTGTTTCTCAGGTTGACACCACCGAGGTTTTCTGGGGCTGTGGGTGAGGATGCCCACGAGTTTCTTACTACTTGCCATGAGAGGCTTCGCACTTTAGGCCTTGTGGAGTCTAGAGGGGCCGACTTCATTGCTTACCAGCTAGATGGGCCAGCCAGGCAGTGGTGGCGCACATTCATTCAGACCAGGCCAGTTGGATCTCCACCGGTATCATGGGATGAGTTTTCTGAGGCCTTCTTGGCCAAGTTTATCCCTCGTAGCGTCAGAGACCGCCTCAGGGATCAGTTCTGCAGGTTGGAGCAGGGCTCCATGTCGGTGGCAGAGTACGAGACTAGGTTTCACGAGCTCTCCCGTCATGCTGAGATGATATTACCTACAGAGGAGGAGAGAGTTAGGTGCTTTGTTCGTGGGTTGAGATTGCAGCTTCGGCTTGAGACCCAGTCCTTAGTTTCTGCGGGTCGATCTTTTTTAGACGTAGTTGACCATGCTAGTACTATGGAGCATCTTCGTCGCGAGGCCCAAGGGGGCAGCGAGAAGAGGGCTAGGCATGAGGGCAGCTACAGTGACTCACGCCCCAGGTCTAGAGATTATCATGACAGGGCCGGACGACGGTTTCGACAGGGTCAGTCTAGCAGACCTACACAGGCCTCTCTTCAGGCATCAGATGGTGGTCGGAGTGAGGCTAGTTCGAGTCAGGGCCGCGAGGTGTTTCAGTCGGGTTCTTCAGGCCATGGTAGTCGTTCTTCTGGGAGTCGCCCTCGACAGGGTTGCTATGAGTGTGGTGAGATGGGTCATTGGGCCAGGGACTGCCCTCAGCATAGTCGGATTGCTCCCGCTCCTCATGCAGCTCCCCTAGCTTTACCAGCACCTCCAGTTAGAGGCCGTGGTCAGGGTCAGGACCGTAGAGGTGGTCAGCAGGGTATACGGGGTGGTCCCCGAGGAGGCAGGTCAGGTGGTAGGTCTGATGGTCAGGGCAGAGGCAGACATAGCCACTTCTATGCAGCTCCAGCGAGGGCGGAGGCTGAGGCGTCAGACGATGTGATCACAGGTACTATTCTTTTATGCCAGCAGCCCACCTTGGCTTTATTTGATCCAGGCTCTACTTTTTCGTACGTTTCTGTTTACTATGCCTCTCGATTGAGTATGATGTCTGAGCCTCTGGTAGCGCCGTTGCGTGTGTCGACCCCCGTGGGTGAGTCTTTAGTAGTGGATCAGGTATTTCGATCTTGCTTAGTTACTATCCAGGGGCGTGACACCCGGGCTGACCTTATATTGCTTGACATGGTTGATTTCGATGTGATTCTGGGCATGGATTGGTTATCCCCTTATCGCGCTATTTTAGACTGCTTTTCTAAGACCGTTACCTTAGCCATTCCCGGTATTCCTCCGGTGGTGTGGCAGGGATCTCGTGGTAGCACACCAGTTGGGGTTATCTCTTTTATTCGTGCTAGGAGGCTAGTGGCTAGCGGATGCTTATCATATTTGGCCTATGTACGTGATGTGAGTAGGGAGGTTCCTCCGGTTGAGTCAGTTCCTGTTGTTCGTGACTTCATAGATGTGTTTCCTACTAATCTACCTGGCCTACCCCCAGAGCGTGATATTGATTTCCCGATTGAGCTTGAGCCAGGTACTCGACCTATTTCTATTCCGCCATATCGGATGGCTCCTGCAGAGCTCAAGGAGCTCAGTGTTCAGCTTCAGGATCTCTTGGGTAAGGGATTTATCATACCTAGTGTATCACCTTGGGGCGCTCCCGTTCTTTTTGTTAAGAAGAAGGACGGTACTATGCGCATGTGCATTGACTATAGACAGTTGAATAAGGTGACAGTGAAGAATCGATATCCTCTGCCTAGGATCGATGACCTATTTGACCAGCTACAGGGAGCTTCAGTGTTCTCTAAGATTGATTTGAGGTCCGGTTACCACCAGTTGAGGATTAGGGCAGCGGACATCCCTAAGACTGCATTTAGGACCCGTTATGGCCATTATGAGTTCTTGGTGATGTCATTTGGGTTGACTAATGCCCCTGCCGCCTTTATGGACTTGATGACGCGTGTGTTCAGGCCTTATCTTGATTCATTCGTGATAGTCTTCATTAATGATATTTTGATATACTCGCGGAGTAGGGGTGATCATGAGCAGCATTTGAGAGTTGTGCTCCAGACTTTGAGAGATCAGCGGCTTTATGCCAAGTTCTCAAAGTGCCAGTTTTGGTTAGACTCTGTGGCGTTCTTGGGGCATGTTGTATCTAAGGAGGGCATTATGGTAGATCCGGCGAAGATTGAGGCTATTCGTGATTGGGCTAGGCCCACCTCAGTTACTGAGATTCGGAGCTTCGTCGGACTAGCAGGCTACTACAGACGATTTGTGGAGAGTTTCTCTACCTTGGCAGCACCTTTGACTCGGTTGACTCGTGTTGATGTTCCCTTTGTTTGGTCAGAGGAGTGTGAGGCGAGCTTTTTGAGGCTCAAGGAGTTATTGACCACCGCTCCTATATTGACTCTTCCAGTTGAGGGCGAGGGCTTCACGGTATATTGTGACGCATCCGACGTTAGTTTGGGTTGTGTATTGATGCAGCAGGGCCGGGTTATTGCTTATGCGTCGAGGCAGCTTAAGATTCATGAGCGCAACTACCCCACCCATGACTTAGAGTTGGCGGCCGTAGTTTTCGCACTTAAGATTTGGAGGCACTACTTGTATGGAGTTCGATGTGAGATCTATACCGATCACAGGAGTCTTCAGTACATCATGAGCCAGAGGGACCTTAATTCGAGGCAGCGTCGTTGGATTGAGCTCCTGAAGGACTATGACCTCTCTATTCTCTATCATCCGGGCAAGGCGAATGTGGTAGCGGACGCCTTGAGCCGAAAGGCGGTGAGTATGGGTAGTCTAGCCTTCTTATCTGTTGAGGAGCGACCCTTGGCTATGGACATTCAGTTCTTAGCCAATAGCATGGTTCGGTTGGATATCTCAGATTCTAGACGTGTCTTGGCCCATATGGGAGTTCAGTCTTCCTTGCTTGATAGGATCCGTGGTTGTCAGTTTGAGGATGAGGCCTTGGTGGCCCTTAGAGATCGAGTGTTAGCGGGTGATGGTGGTCAGGCTTCCTTAGATCCTGATGGAGTGTTAAGATTCGCCGGCCGCATCTGTGTTCCGAGAGTTGGGGATTTGATACAGTTGATACTTTCTGAGGGCCATGAGTCTAGATACTTTATCCATCTGGGCACAGCGAAGATGTATCGTGATCTGAGGTAGCATTACTGGTGGAGTGGCATGAGGAGAGATATTGCTGACTTTGTTTCCCGTTGCTTGTGCTGCCAGCAGGTAAAGGCCGAGCATTTGAGGCCTGGTGGTGTGTTTCAGAGATTACCCATTCCGGAGTGGAAGTGGGAGCGTATCACTATGGACTTCATTGTGGGGTTGCCTCGGACTCCTAGAGGTGTTGACAGCATTTGGGTCATCGTTGATCGATTGACCAAGTCAGCACATTTCCTTTATGTTCAGTGTTCATTTAGCGCCGAGAGGTTGGCTCGTATCTACATTCGGGAGGTGGTTCGACTTCATGGGGTGCCAGTTTCTATTATATCAGATAGGGGCTCTCAGTTCACGTCCAGCTTTTGGAGGACCTTTCAGGATGAGTTGGGCACTCGGGTTGACCTTAGCACAGCTTTCCACCCGCAGACGGATGGCCAGTCGGAGCGTACTATTCAGGTCCTTGAGGATATGTTGCGGGCCTGTGTTATGGATTTTGGAGGTCAGTGGGACCAGTTCTTACCTTTGGCGGAGTTTGCGTACAACAACAGCTACCACTCTAGTATTCAGATGGCCCCATTCGAGGCATTATATGGTAGGCGTTGTCGCTCTCCAGTTGGTTGGTTTGAGTCTACAGAGCCTAGGCCGCGTGGTACAGATTTGCTTCAGGAGGCCCTGGATCAGGTGAGGGTGATTCAGGATAGGCTCAGGACGGCTCAGAGTAGGCACCAGAGTTATGCGGATCGGAGGCGCCGGCCTTTGAGATTCTCTGTTGGTGATCGGGTATTCCTCCGTGTGTCGCCCATGAAGGGCGTGATGAGGTTTGGGAGGCGGGGCAAGCTTAGCCCCAGGTACATTGGGCCTTTTGAGATACTCCGGACAGTTGGGGAGGTTGCTTATGAGTTGGCCTTACCTCCAGTATTTTCAGCCATCCACCCGGTTTTCCATGTCTCGATGTTGCGGCGGTATGTTCCTGATGAGTCTCATGTGCTCCAGTATGATGCAGTCGAGTTGGATGATCGTTTGACATTTGTAGAGGAGCCAGTTGCCATTCTAGCCCGAGATGTGAGGAGATTGCGCTCGAGAGCCATTCCTGTTGTTAAGGTCCGTTGGAGGCATCGTCCAGTCGAGGAGGCTACCTGGGAGATCGAGCAGGAGATGCGAGAGCAGTTTCCCAGCTTGTTTGAGCCTTCAGGTACTTCTTGACCCTTACTTTCGTGGACGAAAGTCCTTTTTAGTAGTGGATATTGTAATGACCCTCTTGGTCATTTTTGTGTCTTGCCTTCTGTGTGTCGTTTAGAGCTTTCCTATAGCGACCCCAAGTCATTTACGACTTGCTGGGACTGACAGTTCGGTCACCTGGTCGTTTGTTTGGTCTTGGTGTGAGTTTTTGTGTTTTGGAGCTTTTGAACCTTGAACGATCATTTTTGATCAAAAGTTCAAGAAGATGACATCGGAATCCAATTCTGACGATTTCATCAGCTCCGGAAGGGTCATTTTAGGCTAGTAGCACGGTCGACATGACTCCCGAGGTTTTCAGTGTGAGTCGGTGTGATTAGGCGTTGTAGCCTTTGAATTTTGGCTTAAGTTTGACTTTGGTCAACATTTTGAGTAAACGCGCTCGGATGAGAATTCCGTCAGTGCGGTTAGCTCCGGAATGTTGAGTTTGGTCTAGATTGACCCTTCTTTTGTGTCCCGAGGTTTTCGATATCTTTCCGAGCCCTTTTGTGGGTTTTGACTTAAAATGGCCTTTGGAAGTGGGACCCACTTTTTATCGAAATTTCCAAATCATGGCTTTAAGTATTTTCTCACAATAGTTGATGATTTTAGCAGAGGTACTTGGACCTACTTGCTAAGTTCTAAATCTAATGCCTTCACCATTTTGAAATCCTTCCTTACCATGGTAGAACGACAATTTGACAAGCAAGTAAAGCAAATCAGGTTAGACAATGCTTTTGAATTGGGAAGTGGGAAAACACATTCAGAATTTTTCCAATCCTTAGGTATTATCCATGAAACAACTTGTGTGTCCACCCCACAACAAAATGGAATTGTTGAGCGAAAACATAAACACCTATTGGAAACTTCCAGGGCTCTATTGTATCAGTCTCACCTTCTTATTCACTATTGGGGAGACTGTCTTTTGACAGCAACGTATTTAATTAATAGATTTCCCTCCAAAGTCATAAATCTCAAAACACCATATGAGATACTTTTCAACACCAAACCACAATATTTTCATCTTAAAAGTTTTGGTTGTTTGTGTTTTGCTTCTACCCTTTCAAATAAAAGAAGTAAGTTTGATCCAAGGGCGGTTCCTTGTGTGTTTTTGGGGTATCCACACGGTAAAAAGGGCTACAAAGTTCTCAGTCTTAAATCTCTACAGTGTTTAGTGTCACGGGATATTGTCTTTCATGGGTCAGTTTTTCCTTTTTCCTCTATGAAGTCTTATATTCCTACCGATTTCTTATTTCCTACTGCTAACCATCACACGCTGGCAGATCTTTTTTTTGATGTCTTCTTATTACCTGCGGATGATCTTGTCTCTTCAAATTATCCCATCATACAATCTACACCTTCTCCAACTATAGCTCATGATTCTTCGCCTCAACCAGAGCCTACTTCACATATTCCCTCTATTAGCTCTTCACAACCTACTATGGTTGATGTCATAAGGCAATCCAATAGACCACATAGGACACCTTCCTACCTACAGGATTACATCTGCAATGCTCTGCAGTTGACTGATGTCCACAATTCTTGTTTTCTTCCATCCGTCACACCTGAGTCTTTTCCCTTTAGTGGTCTGTCCTCTACCAACCAAAATATGCTTAACTCTTTATCTAATATTCAAGAACCTATTAGTTTTTCACAGGTTGTTCATCATCCTGGGTGGCAGGCAGCTATGGAATCGAAAATTCAGGCTCTAGAATCAAACAAAACATGGGATGTAGTAGAACTACCCCCCGATCGGAAAGTTCTACCGTGTAAGTGGGTTTACAAGGTTAAGCAGCACTCTGATGGCAGTATTGAGAGACTGAAAGCTCGATTGGTAATACGAGGTGATATACAAAGAAAGGGAATCGACTTTAATGAGACCTTCTCTCCGGTGGTGAAAATGACTACCATCAGATGCATTTTCGCTACAGCAGTAAAGAAGGGTTGGGGCCTCTATCAATTGGACGTGAATAATGTTTTTTTACATGGAGACTTAGATGAGGAAGTCTACATGAAATTTCCAGCAGGCATCACTCATCTTTCGCCTAAACACGTATGTAAGTTGAATAGGTCGCTCTATGGACTTCGTCAAGCATTGAGACAGTGGTATGCTAAACTCACATCTGCCTTAAACTTTAAAGGATTCATGCATTCACTAAATGATTATTCTCTTTTTGTAAAGAAATCGGACTCTTCCATTTCGATTGTGGCTATATACGTTCATGATATCGTTTTAACAGGGAATAATCAGGCAGAACTACATGTTTTGAAGATCTTTCTTGATCAAGAATTCAAAATAAAAGATTTGGGAAACTTACATTTTTTTCTTGGAATGGAAGTACTTCGTGAATCACATGGTTTGATACTCTGCCAGAGAAAATTCACCCTCGACTTGCTCAAGGAGTTTGATATTCTAGACCTATCTCATGTGTCTTCTCCTTTAGACCCAACTGTCAAACTAGTTGCTCAAGAATGCGATCAAATTGATGATCCTACTTTGTATCGACAACTTTTGGGCAAGCTAAACTACCTCACACATACTAGATCAGATCTCTCATTTACCGTACAACACTTGAGTCAGTACATGCAGGACCCCAGGAAACCTCATCTCAATGTTGCTCTTAGAGTCCTTCGCTACCTTTTGAAAGACCCTGGACTTAGCCTTTTCCTGTCACCTTCTTCTTCATTTGAACTACGAGCCTTCTGCGATTCTGATCGGGGAACATGCCCTGATACTCGCCGATCTGTCAGCGGTTTCTACATTTCACTAGGGACTTCTCTTATTTCTTGGAAATCAAAGAAGCAGACATCCATTTATCTTAGCTCCGCTGAGGCAGAGTATAGGTCCATGAGACGGGTAGTTGTCGAACTCACTTGGCTTGTTCGCCCCTTTGACGATATCTACATCCCTATTTCATTCCCCATTCCACTACAATCTGATAGCCAGGCGGCAATTCATATAGTAAAAAATCCTGTCTTCCACGAACGTACAAAACATGTTGAAATTGATTGTCATTTTGTTCGCCAACAGTTCCTCGCAAGACTCATTTCACTTTCTCACATTCGATCTTCATCCCAACCAGCTGATTTGTTCACTAAATCATTGCATGGACCTCTGCATCACACCTTATTGGGCAAGTTGGGTGTATTCTCATCTCCTCCAACTTGAGGAAGGGTGTTGGTGTGAATATTATGTGAATATTGATCTGCTCAATAACGCAGACAAGAAGTACAAAGAGTACTGGGCCTGCACATACAGATCCAAATATCTTATCGGTTATTTGGTCTTTTGGGCCTCAGTTGGTTAACGATCTCAGCCAACAGTGGGTTGAAGTATTATAAACTAACCTACTTCTACAAGTTAACTACAAATAGGACAATACATATAACGTTAGGATTAGTTACATGTTAGGAGTCTTTTCCTTGTTATTCGTAAACTGTTAGGAGTCTTTCTTTTGCTGTATATATACAAGGCATTGTACAATTGAAAACATTGATCAAATATATAAGAAAAGTTCCGCATATATCTTTTGTTTTCTTACACTTTATGAATATTCGATAATTGTCATGATGTAATTGATATATAGTTAAGATTATATTATTAAGATATTAATCGCTTTAATCCGGTCATTATCACATTTGGTGTCTTAGTTTCTAATTAATCTGAAATGCACATTTATAACTGAATTTCAAACTCGCATTTATATGACATCTAACTTTTTTTCCATGGGCCATGGCTATCCTATGTGAAAGTTGCCTACGAAGGAAATAATTTACTAAAATATATTTTTGTAGAAAATATTTTCTTGAAAAATAAATTAATATGACGCATACAAACTAAATTATAGTGTTAACTATTAACTAGTAAAACATTATGGAGACAAAATGGGATATGAAAAGTGTAGGTTCAGGAGTGGTCGGGGGCGGGATGGTCAAGGGGTGGGGGTTGGAGGGATTGGATGGGTGGGACGAGATTGTAAACTTGAAATGTTGTTAATTATCCGACTTGTTTTCCCTACTTCCATTAAGAAAGTCATTTTCCTCATTTGTATAGAACTTATATTCCTAGAGAAAATATTTTTCAAAAGTTGAAACAGTCATCCCCAATAAATTATATATTTTGAAAATCTCAAAAGTATATATACAACATGAGACTCTATCATCCCGAGCAAATTAAATATTTTGAAAGTCTCAAAAGTATATAAAACTAAGACTTTTGGATTACCAAAATGGTTGATAATCTTGAACATGAAGCAAGAAATTTATTTGGAATTCATTCTTAACATCCTTAAATCCATTTTCCAATTTATTTTAGGGTTTTTTTTGTGACTTTTGTAATCATTATTCATTCATTTACTTGTGTAAAAGATTTCAAATATCTTTAAATAAGTTAATACTTCATATTAATTGAATTTTGAAAGACAGTATCGTAATTATATTTTCATTTATTCGTGAATGAAACTAAAATATTTTCAAAATAGGTTCATTCTAAGACTTAATTGAATCCCAAAAATAGTATTATCATTATTTTTTTAATTTACTTGTCGTGAAGACTTTAACTATCTTCAAACATGTTTGATAATAATTTCCTAACAATACTATTATCAAAATATTCTATCTATTTTTTTCTAAGTCCTCCCACCAAATGACCAAATTACCCTTAACCATGCTCTAATTTTTTATGCAAGGTCAACAATGTGAACACTCAAGCATATTATATGTAGTTGACAAGTTGTCGCGTGTATCATTGTGAAGACAAGCACTATATATTGACATTCATTTTGGATCCTTTCGAAGACTTTTTTTTCGAAGTAAGTAAATTACCAAAAATGTTTCTTCACGTCTAGATTAATAAGACTCACCTAATTATATCATACATGGATCTCGTTAAGGCAAGCTTATTAACATGTCCATGACAAGGAAACATCTCGAAAACAAGAACTAGTTTATATAGTTATCTACGCAACCGCTTAAACTAATAATCAAATGAACTTCTAATTGGTCGATGCATGTTTTTTCACTACCATCAATTAAGTACCCCAAAGTTCTCATATTGTAGATAGCGAGACATACTTGTTTGACAATAATTAGATCATTATCTTCTAACTAGCTTGCATCTTTCGAGTGTGGATTTATTTTGAATTCTATCAATGCGAGATATTTTGTATATCAGACTTTTTTTTTTCCTTATCTTTTAAATAACACGCACCTTAAATAGGACTACTCTTTTTGCAAGTCTTGAAAGGTCTATATCCCATGCCGAATTTGTGGAATTTGAAATATTACAATGACATTGATTACACAAAAACCTTTGAGGATACAGCTTTCAATGTCCCAAGATGAAAATACTCTTTACATCTTGTTCATTTCAACTCATTGCTTTATTTTATCAAATTTCCCAATTATTTTATATACCAAGGTGTTCATATATATATATATATATATATATATATATATCACTCTTAAGCTTTGGTAAAGGTTGATGTGCAGTTGCTCGAGATTAGCTAATTAATTGAACTCTTCATGTTTCATGGAAATTGAATAGACATCCTAAATTATTTTATTTAAAAAAAAAATACTTTATCAATAATTATATTCCGTCAACCCTATTTTTAATTTCTAAAAGTCTACAAAGCACGTTCCTTCATGAATTCACCTAGTGAGTAGTTTGACTTTTTTTTTTTGCTCCTCAACCGCGTTAAATCACTAAAATGGACTTTGACTTTATTACCATACCACCAAACAAGTTCTATTTAGAATTTCATATTTCCCTATTTCGTAGTGAGCTAACCGTAAACACATCATTGAGTCTTAGGATTTATTAAAAACAAATTAAGTTATATATACTGACATACAGTTTACCAAAATTAGTCCATTTAAATATTGAAGTGCACCAAACTAGAAAAGAGTTCTAGAGATGGGGAAGAAGTTAGAACCTCAACAATCCAATAACACAATAACTCATTTTAGTCATCCTCACACTTTAGAGCTAATTACTCATCAAAATTTTGCTCCATCACAGCTATGTTCAGGCTGCAAAATTCAAGCTAATGGATCAGTTTACACTTGTAAATCTTGCAATTTTTTCCTCCATATTGAATGTTCCCAAATGCCACAGCAAATCAATCATCCATTTGATAAAGAACATAGTTTGACTCTCCTCCCAAAGTCGATTTACCCGGAAGGGAATTTTCGGTGTGATGCGTGTGGGGAAACAGGGGATGGATTTTCTTACCACTGCAACAGTTGTGGTATTGATCTTCATATACTATGTGCAGTTCTTCCGCAATATGTCACTGATTGGTCTCATCGTCACCAACTTGAAATTCAATTTTCATCTCCTTACCCTAGTAAATCATTCCGTTGTGATATTTGCAAGAATATTGGAACCAAACAATGGCTCTATAGATGCCATACTTGTGGTTTTGATGCTCATTTGAATTGTACAAAGTTGCAAAGTCATTTTCATCAGAACCCAACAACAAGTAGTAATTCTAGATCTGCTCCTGATCAGCAATATCAACATCATTGTGCAGGTAAATTTTTATCCGTACCAGGTGTTTTTATCAACTTATATTACTCTCAGAGGCGTATTCATGATTTCGTAAGAATGGGTACATTATTACAAAAAGATGCATCTAAGATATAAATTTGATTCGTTTAACCTTTACGTTCTTAATGCGTAAATTTATGTCTACAGGGGTAGATCATATGAATCAGGAGATTAAAAACGAAATATCGTCCCTGCGAAAGCAAAGAGACGATGAGGATAAATTGATGGCAGAAATGATCATGGGCGGCGTTAATCATGAGAATCAACGACTAAACGAACTGCTAGGCCGTACAAGTCCAGGGATTAACAACGGAACTACTGCTGCACCGCAATTTGGGGGAAGTCAGAACAACGAAATGTCGTTCCCTGAAATTCTGCGAAAGCAAAGAGAAGATCAGGACAAAATGATGGCAGAAATGATCTCGGGTGCTAATTATCGGCAGAATCAACAACTAAGCTATCTCATAGCTGCTAGTTCTCTGAATAACCAAGCAATAAACCAGCAATTCAACCAAACACTTGTGAGTTATGGTGGCTCTGCTGGTGCTGGTGCTGGTGCTGGTGCAGGACAAGGACAAATCCCAAATTTATACCAAAATACAATCGGTGCTGGTCTATTTAATACTGGAGCTGGTTTTGCTGGTTTGGGTTTAAATGCATTGTTTGGAAATCTTAAATTCTGAAAATTACTTATTTCAGAATAAAAAAGAATCTTATTTATTTCGCTTTGTGCATCTACAATGTAATTCTATTATAAAGTTGTTGTGAGTTTTTAATTTTATTGTTGATTTTCAATAATGGAAGATGTATTATACTCGTATAAAAATGCAGGATTGTGTGGTCAAGTACTTCTCCTCGCACCTTTTACCAGCTCTCCTCCCTTAGCTTAGCTCACCATCACGCCGGGTAGCTTGCATCGGGCTCCAAATCTCGTGCCCAGAGTCAAACCATAAGCATGTGACATTACTTAAGTACCGATCAAAAATACATATTTCTGCGATTAAGTGCTAAGAATTCTTGAGTCACAGTCTTTCTTGCTCTAGTTCTTGTATTTTACCATTGAGATTTCTTATTCTTTGCTTTAGTTTAATATTCAGCTCATTTACTTTTTTATATTTGAGTTAATCGGAAAAATGTTGGGTATATAGTAAGAATTAATGGGAAATGAAGGGAAGATGAAAAGAGGAATTTGAAAGGTTTTCTTATGCTTTATAGTAAGAAAAAAATCATTTCTCCCTTGTTGGTGGTGGAAAGAAAAGTTCAAGTGTTTAAATAGATAAACACTTTTACTAGTTGTTAAAAAGATTGGAAAGAAGGACCCCCCTTTGGCTTTGACTTTAGAAAATGATTGAGAGATTTTTTTTGGCAAAGTTTGTTTTAATTATTTATTTAATTAATTAAATTAAATTAAATGGCCAAAATGTTTTAATTATTTAAACTATTAGCCGAAACGACCTAACCCGACTCGGATCCGTGCGACCCTGTGTTTAAAACATCTTTCCCGTTTTATTTGAATTTTCCACCGTTGGAAATGACTGTTCTGAAAGGTTTACACTTTCAGGAACAACCATGACCGTTCTAAAGGGTTGCAAACTTTCATGAATGATCGTGTGGTT